GCCAAGCAGGGGGTTGGTCCCTGTTTTTGGGGTGCTGCTCCACAACATCACGGGGTGGGTATGGGGCAAGCTCTGCTCCCCTCAGGGGGACAGTGGCACCGGCTCCAGCCACACTCCCCTCACTGACATGGGGGTTGTTGGGATGGGGACACCCTGGGGGGAACCTGCTGTGCCCCCCACAGAGGGGCTTGGGTCCAGAAGAAGATTTGGACACTTACTCAAATCCCCTCTGTGGGGGGAAGTAATCCTGTATAATTCCCTGGGGATGATGACAAAGGGGATAGCCAAGGCATTCGAGGCATTTCCACGCATCTTGCCGGGGAAAAGAATTTTTCTGAATTGTGGGGGGTGGGTTTCTCTTTTGATTTAGTTCAGGGTGATGGCTCAGGCCTGGCTCGCTGCCATCCACCCCTGCCCCCAGCCCCAGCTGTTTTTCTGGTCGGGTCCCTCCAGGATGCCCAGTGGGTACAGGACAGCCCAGACACGGGCGCCTGGACGAGCTGAATGTGGGGAGATGATGGTCCCCTCTGCACCCTGGCCCTGCAGGGGTCTGTGCCCATCGTCCCAGGTCCCCAGGGGGCTGCAGGGGACCCCCATGCAGTCACAGCAGAGCAGTGGGACGCTGCGTGACAGGGCCACCCACCCGCTCCCCCCGCCCTCCCCACCGCCAGCCCGGTGGAGACCCCGGCACCGGGGCGTTGTTATGGAAACTGTAATATCCTGCAATTCCACTGATTAAAGCAGGAATTGGAAAGCCGGGCCCGGAGTGGGGCCAGATGGAGACCTGATTCCCTAATGGCCAGCGTCTCAGCCTGGCCATAATCCCACCACGTGTCCCCGTGCCAGCACCAGCTCTGTCCCCGGTGCCAGCCACGCCGTGTCAGAGCAGAGTGTCGGCTGCACCCCGGGCACGGCTGCTGCTCCGGGGGCTCCAGAGGTGCTGGGGACCCCGAGCCCGAGGGGAGCACTGCCAGAGCACCCTGGGATGGGCAGCCCGGGCAGCCCATGGGCCTGGCAGAGACTCCCCCAGCTGCTCCTGCTGCTGGAGCTGCCCTGGCTGAGCCCTCGCCCCCATCCAGCTCTCAACCTGCAGAACTCAGTTTATTTTTTGGCCAGGCTCTCGGGGAATCTCCAGTGATTCTAATCCCATCTCCCTTGCCAACAGCAGCCACGTCCCCTGCTGCAGGCAGAGGTGGTGGCTCTGTGGGGCCCATGGCCATGGCTCCTGGCAGGGTGGGGGATGTCCCCCCATCCGTCCTGGGCAGGACAGCCACCCAGGCTGGTGGGCACAGGGATGCCAGGCTGAGATGCCACCAAGGTCAGCTCAGCTGTCCCTTGATAAGGGAGTTGGCATCTTACCCGCAGGATCCTCTCGAGCCCTTCCCAACAGGAACCTCCCAACCCACACCTGCACCGCTCAGCGCTGCTCACTTGGCACCAGAGGGATGGGTGCCCAGTGGGGAGGTGACACCTCCTACCTGATGCTGTCAATGAGGTGCTGGTGGGACTCCTGGGTGAGGACCATGCAGAGGGCATAGGCCAGGCACTCCACCTTCCTCTCGGCCGCGTACTGCTTCAGGACGGTGAACACCTTCTCCTTGAGCTCCGGCTGCTCCCCCAGGATCTCATCCACCTGCCACGGGGGAGACAGGAGAGGAGAGGCAAGGGGCCCTGAGCAGTGGAGGCAACTGTACACACGGAGGAACTGTCCCGTGGAAAATGTGTCCGACTCCCTGCACCACCTGCTCGGCGATGAGGAGGGAACAGCACGGGGAGCAGAGGGAGCTCCAGACAGCAGCCCATCACACAGCACCGCTGCAGCCCCACACACAGCCCTGCAACTGCTGCTCCAAACATTCACCCCAAACCCCCCCACTCTGCTGGGTCACAAGTGGCCCCACAGGAGTGGCTCTGGCACAGCTGGGACGGGATCAGTCCCGAGTCTGCCTGGCAGGGGACACTGCAGTGGGCTGTTGGAGCTGTTTAAGCTTCATGCTTCATCTATCACTCCCTGATCCCCTGCACTGTCCTCCCTTTAGCACTGGGAAGCTGCTGGGAAGTGGGGAGAGGGAGTGTGAGGGTGAGCACCAGCCCTGGAAACTGCACCAGCATCTCCCACCTGCTGTCCTGTCCTCTCCACCTGAGACAGGCAGAGTAATTACCTAATTACCATCGAGCCAATTACCCTGCATGGGGCCCTCCTTCCTCACCTCTTCCTAGGCTGGGGGGCTGTCCCTTTCCCTTGGACAGTGGGAGATGGTCCCTTGTCAGGAGCATGTGCCTGGAATGCCAGACCTCCCTGTGAGTGCCCCACCATACCTGTGTGTGTCTGATTTTCCTTCAAGGGGGTGTTTTTGTGCTGACAACAGGTTTAATTGCTGGGTTTAACTGTAGGAAGCAAAGAGGAGCCCCTGATCCTTGCCCAGGGCACCGGGGGGGTGTGCAGGGCTCTGTGTGCACCCCTTGGTGGCACTGCCAAGGAGCCAGCAGGCATCACCTGCCTGGGGAAGGGGAAGAGCTGTTCCTTCCAGATGCTTGTCCCACTTGGCAGCTCCCTGGGGAGGCCAACAGCAGCACTGTGACCCCAGCACAGCCCCCCAGTGCTGCTGGCTCTGCAGGCACCACGGGAGCTCCGGCAGCAGCAGCACTTCAAGGTCACCAAATCTGGGGCAGCCACGGCAGCAGCGTCCCCTGGGCAGGCTCATGAGTTCTCAGTTCCCAGGTCCAGCAGAGGAGTGACAGCCTGTGGTGTTCCTGGCGGGATGGATCCCAGCGGGCTGCTCTTAAATTTTTGCCTGGGCTGAGATTGCAGGGTGGGTGGGAATCAGAACCACTGAGGTTGGAAAAGCCCTCCAAAACCATGGAGTGCAACCCGTGCCCAACCTCCACCAGCCCAGAGCACTGAGGGCCACATCCAGTTGTTCCTTGGACACCTCCAGGGTGGGGACTCCACCACAATGAGGGTGCTGCCACTCTTCATGCAGTCCCCAGAGCGTCCCCAGGCATGCAGGGGACAAGAGCAGATTAGACCTGGAACTGAGGCTTCCTGGCGATGCCCTCAGGTTGCTGGGACACTGGAACAGCCCAGCTCCAGACCTCTCCAATACTACTGATGCGGCCACTGCTCTGTCTGCCAGGTGGGTGTGACTCAACCCAGGGCTCTACTGAACGAAGGAGGCTGCGAAGGTGACCTGTGGGCAGTGCAGGTGTGACATACAAGCCACCAGCACCCTCCGACCTCCCAGCCTCGCAGCGGGTGGGCAGGAGCACCTGCCGGAGCTGAGCTCCCAGGTAAGCGAGGGGGGAAGGCACCCGCTGGGTTTGTTATTTTCCACATCGCGTGAAAAAATGAAGCCACTTCAAACATCTGGACTGTTCGTTCCCTCTAGAGAGGCGTTTGCCAGCTGAGCTGTGCTCCAGCAACCACCAGCCAGCAGCACAATCCTCTGTTCTCTGCAATCCCGTTTCTGTCCAGACCCTCTGGGGTTGTCACAGGAAGCTTTGATAAACAGGGTAGGGTGGCGACAGAGGTGTTGATGGGGATGTTCGCTGCTCAGCAGGGAAGGGAGGAGACAGGCATTGATCAGGTATTTGCATCATTGTAACCAGCTTGCTCTCCTGTGATCGCCCATGAATCTTTTGCTTGGCTTAATGTGGCTTCATGAGGTGGAGGTGGATACAACAACCTCCCCTCCTCGATAATCTCCTGTAATCAGCAGGTATCTGTTTCCCGTGCAATGCTCAGCCCTATGAATCCAACCTCAGTGTGTATTTGTAAATCTTTAATGTAGAAGCTGACTGAGGGGATTTGCCTGATACCCACAAATCTCTTTATGGATGTCTTGTTCCTTTATTAACTTGGGATCAAAAAAAAAAAAAAAAAAACCAACCCCACCAGCCTGGTTATTTTCATAACAGCATTTTAAAAGGCTACTTTGAAATGGAAATTAGAAAGATTGAAAAAACAACTGTGATCAAATTTATAATTAGCACGAGGCAATGTGGTTGGTAAAATACCCACTAGGAAACTTTCGGGAACACAATGAAGATGTAATCACATTGATGTTTTCTCTTTTGCAGCAAAGTAAGAACTAAAATGTCTGCAGGGGGACAGGCTCACACTTTGAAGGGACATCCAGACATGCAGCAGAGCACGATCTGCCCCTGTGAGTTTCCCCAACATTCCTGTAGTGCAAAGGAATGAGTACTTGGGCTCACCCCCAGGGGATCTCCAAGCTCTTCACACCATCCATCTGTTCTCCCAAGTAATGACCAGACCCTTCTCTCCGGTGTTCACGCCCCAAATCTGCACCCCAGGCCGGAGACCAAGCCAGGAGCATCCTCCCCCCATCCAAGCACACTGCTAAATGTGGGAACACTCCAGAGCTCAGCTCAGAGGGTGCCCAGTGCCCCAGCCCTCGCGCCTCTCCCGCCGTACCTTCCTGCTGAATTCCTGCGCTTTCTGCCTCCTGTCCCGGTGCAGGCCGTGCCCGCTGGCCGCGGGGTCCGCCGTGCCCGCCCCGCGCTGCGGCCGCAGCAGCCCGAGGTGCAGGGTCCGCCCGCCGCACGATGCCACCAGCGCGGCCGCCGTCTCCGGCAGCATCACCGGCATCCCCTCGACTTCCAGCACGTAATCCCCCGGCTCGATCCCGCAGGCGGCGGCGGGCGACTCCGGGCTGACGGTGGCCACTCGCGGGGGGCTGCCGCTCGCCAGCTCGAAGCCGAAGCATCCCCGCGGGCCGGGCGGGAGGAGGGCGGGCTGCAGGCGGGACACCACGCCGATGCTCGGGGGCACGTTGGGGCAGCGCCGGGCCAGCCCCAGCAGCGCCTGGCGGCCCAGCGAGGACACGGGCTGGCCCTCGATCTCCAGCACCTCGTCCCCGGGGCGCAGCCCCGCCCGAGCCGCAGCGCTGCCCTCCTGCACCCACAGGATGTAGCACGGCCCGCCGCCGCCTATCTGGAAGCCGAAGGACTCGGGCCAGCCCTGGTTGGTTGCCGGCATGGCTGTGACTGGAAAAGAAAGAGGGAAAAAGAAAGGAGTTGGGATGGCTTTCCTGCCCTTGACCGTAGTTCCTGTAGATGCCGGGTGGATCCCAGCGGGTGGGGGGTTCTAGTCTGTGCTGGACGCTCCTCACTGCGGGAAGAAATGCCCCAAGACACTGGGTTTGCCCTAGATTTCCCTAAAATAACAGCCTTTATTCTTCTATCACTGGCTGCTGGGGGTGCCCTTAGCAGTGAGGAGGCCACGATGGCTGGAAAGGTTGGGGCTATACATGGCACCCAGACCATGGCCTGGCACAGCCTCTGTCTCTCCCACCTACCCCCTCTCCCCTGGCATGTATTTAGGCATCTGCTTGTGTTTATTTTTCTGGGAAAATGACTATTTAATTTTCCTGGCAAAGCATGTCCACAAACAGATGATCCAAGGACTTAAAACCACCCAGTTTTAACCAGCTCTTCTCAACACTCAGTGTTTTAGCTGCTTGCAACTACAAATTCATTAGAATTTGCCAGATCCTCTCAGCTCTGCTGGGAGCATTTCTTTGTGCCTCCCTGTCCTGTGTAGGGGTTGTCCTGATCACAGCACCCAGAAATGGTGAGATGAGGATTTTCAGAAGGACTTGTTTGTGGTTCACCAGAAGGATTCAGACAGGCGTCGTGGATGCTGGAGGAGAAATCGGGCACATCAGCCCTGAACATCTGCAGGAGTCGTCTTTGCCCAAGGTAAATCTGACCAGCTGATGTGCACGGTGCACTTGGATGCCCTTTCCATGCTGATGATGTCCAGATGACCTCAAAGTGGTCCCTTCCAACCCTCCCACTCTGTGATTCTGTGATGTGCAAGTGCCTGCACTGTCTGCTGACCCTCACTAAAATAACTCACATGTAGTTTTCTTCTCGATTTGATCCCATCTGTCTGTAAAAATGCTTTTTACTCCCATGTTTATTCCATCTGTGTTACTGAACACACATTAAGCTCTTACAAAAAATGAAACCAGGCTGTTTTATCTGGACAAATTATCTTACAGACTGTGAAGACTCAGCATCACTCAAGAAAACATCCCCATGAACACACCTTGGGTGGCAGCAGAAGTGCCACCTTCATCAGAAGATATTAATAAGGACCAATACACTGTCACTAACATTGTAAGTGTGATAATCTCATCCTCCTTTGTGCGGCAGTGCTGGTCAAATGCTACCTAAAAATCAGGGACTAATATTATTTAAAGAGGAAACAAAGCTATTTCCCACATTAACAGGGTGGATGTCAAGGATCGGAAGGGAAGAGCTGAGGGTAAAGCACGGGATGAGTCTGGCAGCAGTGGGATGAGATCCATCTGCCACCAAACACCATCCCTGGGGCTGCAGAGCACAAGTTTTGACAGCCCAGTAAGCACTGGGATGGCTCCAGCACCCTGCTCTGGGCTGAGCTCCGGGGAAAAGCCCGGCAGAGCAGCGGGGAGCTGCACCCCCCTTCCACCTCTGCCCATCGGCTCGAGCACTTACAGAAGTCCGCAGCCATCCGAGCGAGCCGGGGCTATCACCGGCAGCAGGTTTGTCCCGCTAAGGGGTCGAAGCTGTCTCGGTTCTCCTCCATCACCCTTGGGAGCCAGTCCCGCCTACCCGCAGGGCTCCTGGCAGCATCTTCCCGGCTCCCCCGTCCTCGCTGCAGCCCCCACAGTTCGGGCCCAGCCCTCGCTGCTCTGGGGGTGGCAGAAACGGCTTCTGCACCAGGGCAGGGGTGGCTGCCCCTTCCCGCGCTTCTCACGGGAGCCCTGCGCCCTTCTGGCCGCTCCGGGTCAGCGCCAGACACAGACAAAGGTCTTTCTTGCCTTTTCCTTCCCTAATTAACCTTATATCCATCGCAAAGAGAAGCGTGGACAGACTAATTGCCGTGCTCGTCCTGGCTGAGCCCGATGCTGACCTGAGCCTGCAGATCGGGGGGGAATTAGGAGCTGGAAGGAGGGAAAACAGATTAGCACCCGTGGAGGGAAATCCTTTACCCACAGGGCAAATCTGAAGCGACAGCACTTTGCAAAGCAGCAGGGACACAACGCCGAGGGACCTGGGCGTGCTGGCAACGTGAGTGGGACACAGGGATTTTGGGAGTTCGACCAGCACGCGGTTTGCTG